ACGTCGTTGATCTAAAGGGCCATCAGGGCTTGATCTAAGGATGAACGAATGATGAATGATGAACACTTTCTTCAAGGGTCGTCGGGGCTTGATCTTGAATTAGTGGAAGTTCTTCAAGGGCCGTTGGGGCTTGATTTTGAATGAGGATTTGACGAAGAACGAAGAGAGCTTTCTCGATCCTTCAGGATTTGCTTGGGAGCTTTGGAGTTTCAAAGCTTCCAGTTTTTGGTGTGAGGTGAATTGGTTATGAATTGGTGTCAATTCTCTTCCAATTTGGGAGTAGAGAAAGTGTATGTAAAATTTCCTCTCTTTGCTTGATGAAGAAGCCTATTTATAGGCTTTGAGAATGAAACACTACCATCCATTTGTTTGATGAAGTAAGTGGATGTTGTAGGTGGGATGAGTGTGTATTGTAGGTGAGGTGAGTATATGATGTATGTGAAGTGAGTGTATGATGTAGGTGAAATGAATGTATGATATAGTGAAATGAATGGGGGGTTGTAATTTTAATACAATTCTCAATACTTATTTCACCGAAATTTCAATATCTACACTCACCTTTAACTGGCTCTTAATGCCTAATGCAGTCATGAACAACCTACTCACTAGCTAGAGAAGAATGCGACACAAACTAGCAGACTGTCAGGAAAAATAGCACAGACCTGCAAACCATCAGCAGAGGCAGCCAAGGCAATGGAGGCAAATCTAGAAGGAAGTAGAAATGCAGTTTAGTTCGAGTTCAACTGGTAGCCCACGCCAAGCGCCACCGCGACCAATTCACTTACCAGTCAGAGACGAACCACGTGAATTGCAGTTGTGACATAGACGAAAGATGAGCAAAAGACTACCGGAGGCTTTACTGCCTCAGCAGAGGCAAGCCCAAGAAGAAGTACAACGACTCATAGAAGAGCAGTTGTGTAGATTCTAGTGGCGAAGCCACTTAGAAAGAACGTAGCCTGTATGAGTAACTCACATTTCATTGACAAGATCAAGTAGATGAAACCACACAACATACACTGGCGGATGCAAAGATTATGCTCCGACGAATGCAACAACTTAGCTAGATGGCGCGTCGGGGGCAGACAAGTACCAAAATGATACACCAGCCTAACCTGTAGGAGAGTCCTTCTAACCACCATGAACCGGGGGCAAGTCATGTTCTTATTATCTCAGATGGTTCAACACTTGAGCAACACATCGCTAGTAGCAAAGCATCGATGACCTAATGTCTCAACTTCTCCTACTGTGTATAACTTGGCCCAAGCCAGTCCCCGCTCCACAGCTCACAACCGTGCCTACTTGCTCTGCTTTTCCTGGCTGTCCTCGATCTTGCACCACGACTCCCAGTTGTACTGATCTTGCCCCGCGGCTTCTCACTGTGTCGACTTATGCTTCATGGCTCCCAACTGCGCCAATCAGGCTGACAGTACTCTAAGCTTCAAAACATTCAATGACGAAGCAGAAGATGAGGCTTTAACCAGCAGTTCCTGCTAGCTAAACACTTAGTGATGAAAAAACTTGCAATCCATTCAAATTCTAAGTTGATCATAAACCAAGCGTCAGGAGAGCACATGACGAAACATCCAAGGATGGCGCAATACTTGGAGAGGTCTGGGAGCAACTCACTGCTCTTCCCACCTACAGCCTTACGCGGGTTCCATAAGCAATTCAAAGGCTTAAGCAAATCACAGAACAAAACCTTACAGGCTGAGGATTATTTCAGTTGTCCAACAGTCCAACTTTCTTTAGCTACACTCACAACAATGAATTTCATGTTCTCTAGTGCGGAAGGTAACCTAATCTCCCGACACCCATCTGGGTACGTTCTTCCATGCTCTTCCATGCACTTCAGTATGAGAGGGTAAACTAATTCCCCGACACCCATCTGCAAGAAAATAAATTAATTCCTCAACACCTATCTGCGAGAAGGTAAACTAATTCCCCGACATTTATCCGTATCTGCTCTCCAATGCGATAGGGTAAACTAATAACCCGACACCTATTTGGGACCACTCTCCAGCGTGAGAAGGTAAACTTATTTCCTGACACCTATCTAGGTCTGCTCTCCAGCGCGAGACGGTAAACTAATTCCTTGACACCCATTTGGGTCTGCTCTCCAGCACGAGATGATAAACTAATTTCTCGACACTCATCTGGGCCTGCTTTCATATGATAGGGTAAATTAATTCCCTAACACCCATCTAGGTCTACTCTCTAGCAGGAGAGGGTAAACTGCCCATTTTTTTTATATGATTAGTTAACAATTTTCATGTCCCAAAAATCTTTATCAAGTTATGATGTAGGCCACACAACTTAAAGGACCGAAGACTCAACGACTAGCTAAGTATCATATGGTCAAAAGGCAGTAACTCGCGATGAACCCAACAGCTCGATGCCCCAAGAAGCCAAAGCTCAAGCCATAGTGACTTTGTGGGATCGTCTTCTTTTTCAAAGCAGCATGCCTAGACAATGATCCTATGGCTAAAAGTTTTGCAAGACATTTCAAGCAAGAAAAGTTTCAAGAAAAATGAAGATGGAGTAAAGAGAAGAAAACAATTTATTAAATTTCTTGTAGGTCGATAAATTAGCACAAAGTTCATCAAAATCTGATATAGGCTAAACAAAGCAAACTACTCATTAGCAGCTTGGATGATATTTAGCTCTCCTGCAGCCATCCAACCTTCAGTAGCCATTTCGCACTCAACAGTTTACTCATTTGACACTTGATCTTCAATAGCTCTGATCTTGGTAGCTTCATTCTCAACTTCTCCATCTAAGGTAGTTGAGAAATCAAACTTGAGCAGTTCCCTATTTCTTTGCAAGAAATACAAACATAGTATCAGTGGAAGGAGCAGGCTTTAACACCTCTTTAACAACCTAATCCACTTTTCCAAGTGGTAAACTTTCCTTCCCATTTCTCGTAGTGGTGAGCCTTTCAAAAGCCAATCTAGACGTACCCATAACTGGATACTTCACTCTATCTCCCGATCTAAATGCTGAAAACGGCTTGATGTTAACTTTCCAGAAGCAGTAGAATTCCACCATTATGCGAAATTGTGTGCCTATACATCTCAATGAAGTTTCTAAATAGCTCGTTGGAATTAATCTTGACATGAGTAACCTTAGAGTACCCTACCTTACTAGAAAATTTGTCCTAACCATACAATAACATAATATATCCATCACCTTGGTAACTCGAGTGAGACATATTCAATGAATTCATGCATGGAGGGCACAAGGAAAATATTACAATGAGGTTCACAAAGAAAAAAAATATAAAAGCATGCATGAAGCAGGGGGCACCATGCAGTAGCCTAGCATGCCACGACTCGAGGCTAAGGATGCCTACCAACACCTCTCACTTTTTCTTTCTTCTTCTTAGCTCAGAAGGAAGAGACCAGCGCCCCTTCTTCCCCCATCTTTCTTGATCTAGCAGGGCAAGGAGCCTAGCCCACACTGGTTCCCCCATCTCTCTCTTTCCTTGGGCCAAGCTAGATAGGTAGTTCATGCCTTCGCCTTCATCAATCCAATAGGCCAGGCCCGCATCCTAAACTACTCTCCACTAGCAGCCAGCAGGTAGGAGGCTTGTGCCATTCTTCTAACGCCCTCGACGCTTCCTAGCTGGCGCCAGTCGTTTACCTCGGCCCGAATCAAGCCGACCTCCTGCTCCCTGCAAGACGACCCACCACACCACCCTGATGGTTGCCCTGCGACAGCACTACCAAAGAAGAAGACAACGAAAATATTTTTTTACCTTGGTGTGGCATATAGAAGAAAAAGAACAACTAGAAACAATTCTTTGCAAAGATAAGCAAAGAAGAAGGCTAGGGGAGGGGGAATATATTTCCCCTCGTTTTTTCTCTTTCTTGTAAGGATAAAGATTGTTCTTCAAGTTTATTTAACCCCTTGCTTAAGGCAGAATTAAGTAAGTATTGGTGGCAATTGGTTTCCCTTTCCTAAAGAATTTATCTCCAAGTTTAAGTATCTACATCAAATTGGGAACCAGCTCTTTACTTACCTATGCAGTTTGGGATTTCTACACCTACTACCCTTTCCTGCGACCAGCCAAGCAGGTGTGAGGTTATTTGTGGAGCCAAAAATAATCCCAAAAATCCCGTAGGTGACATGTGCACTTTTACTTTTATTCAAGAAAGACAAGATTGCCCTCATTAAATGCGCAAGGCACATTTATATTCCCACCTGCAGCTCATCATCCCTAGAAGTGCAGACAGCAGACTACAACTGCTCATGACTCCCCTGTTTGTGGCGTGGAAAAGTCAAAAGCATTAAAGATAGGATTAATTACTAAAACATATCTTTAATACATTCTCAATTGAAGACCAACCTCTCAAGTAAGGAATCCCTATCGCAATCAATTAGGGATATTTTCACCATTATTCTAAGATATTATCTCCTAATTAATATCTTAGAAATATCCTTTCCTTCCGCATCCTACGGATGGCATAACTTGGCTAATAGGAGGTTGCCATGTGTAAGGCAAAACCTACACCATGGTTGGTCACTACCTCCTATAAACTCCTCCATCTCCACCAATTTTGGTAAGCTTTTGCTATGCATACAAGCCCTAAACACTCACTATTTTCAAAGAAACTTAGGTATCGGAGTTCCATTGGCCAAACCTCCCCCTAACTCCTCATGGGCTTGAGGCTTTGGTCTTTTATCGAAGGTATTGATTGTTTTATAGGTACTTTTTCATTAAGACTAAAGATGGTGGAAATTTGCTACCACATAGGGTATCATTAGATCCGTATTTTCCAAGTGCCTATCGATCTCTTAAACTAGGTTTCTTTTCCCGGATTTTGGTAGTGATTCTATTTTGATCCGAGTACGGCTTTTAGTTGACCATACTGGCTAAAAATAGAAGAAAAATCTGGTTGACAGATTCAAATACGTAGGGACGCACGGTATAATCTCCGATAACATTTCGTGAATTCCACAATATAAATTCAACCTTATCCCTAGAATCTATTGGTGTTTTTTCTTCATCTATTTCTGCTTCTTCAATTTTTAGGCTCAACCTCTCATGGTTTTGGGGAGTTAGGGTCTCGAATAATAGGGGATAACATATATCAGAATGAATCTAGCAAACAACCTATTAGGCCTTCTCAACATCCTCACCTTCCTGATATCGGTTCCAATCGTCATTGTCGGTGTGCAGCTGTATAGGGTAAATGCGGCTGGACAGTGCTTGGAGGTTTTTAGGCTGCCCGTTCTCGTGTTGGGCGTGTTGATCATGGTGATGTCCATCGTAGGCATAATCAGCGCGTGTTGTCGTATTTCTTGGCTCCTTTGGATCTACCTCTTAGTAATGCTCCTCCTCCTCATTGGACTCATGAGCATTTATGCCATATCCTTCTTTATCATTTGGAAATCAGGCGGGGGAACTAGGGTTCCTGGTACAGAGCTGAAGGAGTACAAGCTCAGCGGTTACGCGGAGTGGTTGCAGAATACAGTTCAAGGAAAGGGTTGGGATAGCCTCAAGAACTGTCTTGTTGTTAGCCAAGCATGCAATTATATGCCAAAAAATGATACTAAAATCCAGGAGTTCAATATGAAGGAGTTGCCCCCCATTATGGTATGCGGTATTATGTTTATTTATAAATTTATTGATTAATTATACCTAATTACCATGTCATTATTTCTTTGGCCCTCAATTATTTTACTTTCAGGATATATATACTATCAATGTTCTTTGACTAAAACCTTTGTGATTTTTAGTTTTTGATTGAAGTCCTTGACATTAATGTAATAATATATTTCTATGTAGGTTATTTTATTTTTAAACTAAAAATAAAATTTATAGTTATTTATATTAATGAAATTCTAAATAAAAACTCATAATTTATGGGATTACAAGTATTAAAGATAAATTATACTCTCCAGTGTATTATGTGTATACATGGGTACGTTCATAAAAAAACTAACCAAAAATGGGTACATATTTCAAAAACACAAAAAAAAAAAATTAGGCTTAATAATTATTAAGCATTTCTTCTATTAAACTTGACGTGGAAACATTCTTAAATCAACGAAATATAATGTACCCATATAAGTTTAAAAAAAAAAAGGAAAACTAATGAAAAAAGTTTGAAAATTTTGAGTTTTAACGATAAGGACAAAATAAAAGGCAAAGTGAATAGTACTAGGATTGACTTTTTAGTGTAAAAATGTGGTTTTTCGTTAAAGTGAACACTACCAGGAACTTTTCGTTAAAGTTTCCTTTAAAAATGGATTAGAGAAAAGGTTGAATGAATTTTATATGAAAAATGGATACATTTTATATTAAAAAAAGGGTACATTTTTCATATAACAAATTGGTATATTTAAGAATGGGTACATATCATTCTTTTATAAAAAATTAAGGGGTACAAACTTATTCTGATTTTATTTTTTATATTTTGGAAACGTTTGAATTGAAATTAATAGGAGTTTAATAAGGGTGTGGTTATTAAAACTCTATATCAATTACTAATTTTTATTATAAAATTATTACATGTAATTCATTAATATATTAATGTTAGGGACTTCGATAAAAATCTAAAAACTAATAAGGTCTTAGTCAATGAACGTTAGAAACTAAGGACCGGATACTAATTTTTCCATATATATATATAGGTATGCACACACGTGCACATGCATTTTATGATATATATTTACAGACTGCAGATAAATAATGTGCATGTTTATGATTTGCAGGCTGGTTGCTGTAAGCCATTAGCCGAGTGTGGATTTAGTTATAAGAGCCCCACCGTGTGGATAAGGAATAACAGCACTTCTTCGAGCCCTGACTGCAAAGCATGGAACAACGACCCAAAGGTTTTGTGCTATAACTGCGATTCTTGCAAGGCTGGAACTTTGGAACAACTACTGGATACCTGGAAGAGTATGCACTTTCTCAAAATTGTATTCCTTGGCTTCCTCGTGCTTGTCTATAGTATAGGATGCTGCGCATTTAAAAACACAAGGAAGAAACCTGACTATTGGAGACAATAAAAAAAAAGTTGGATATCATGCGTAGGGTTCCTCAGCATGTAGATTACTTAGTTTTTATGTTTGACTGGAAGTTAGGAACTAGGCCAAGTTTTTTATCTTCCTCTTTTTAATTACTAGTCAACAGCTAGTACTAAGCTTGGAAACTTGCCCTTGTGTAACTAATTAAACAATATGCCCAATTAACAACTTTTTTTTGTTTTTTGTTTTTTGTTTTATTTTATATATTAACATGTTTATTAGTCAAGAATTAGGGTAAGAACGAATCAAACTAACTGGAAATCGGAATAAGCAGGAATCATGGTATCCAGGAATCAGAGTCATGCATTCTTATTTACAAACGGTTAGGAATCGGAACAAAAAAAACAAAAAAACAAAAAAAAACAAAAAACAAAAAAACAAATGATTGCCATCAAAACAGCATTGGGTTTGCTATCTACATTTTTAGTCTCTCATTCATGTCTCCTTGCTAATTACTTAACATGTGTCGAGCCACTTAACCAAACAATTAATACTGTTAACTTTAATATATAAAGAATATAATAAAACAACGACAAATTAACAAAACAAAACAACCACCACGACTTGTGACCTTCTTCATCCTTCTCATATACCATAACCTCACTAAGCGTTAGCGGGAATACACACATATTCTTCCTATTTTAGCAATTAACGGTTAAGGAATCGAATTGAACCACAATAGAAGAATCTAATCGAACTGAATCGAAGCTGACGAATCGAACTCTGATGCAAATAGTTGACGATTGGATTCCAATTTAATAATAGCTGTTCTCTTTTTGTTGACGAGGTTGGAGAGACAGAGAAGAGACTGGAAACTTGTCGGCGGCGAAGGAGACGTCGAAAAGAGTGGTTGCTGTGGCTAATTTGGTGGCGGGAAGCTTTGGAGTTTGAAGTCTGTTAATTTATGTTTCAACACAAAATAATAAAATTTAATAGTGTTAAGTATTGGATAAGTTGGAGGGCACGTATCAAAATAATATCATGGGAGACATAATACATGTGGATGCAAATTTCCGTCATCTTCTCATTTGATGAAAATGTACCTGCAAAATAATAACACCTAAGATTATGGACAAAAACCTCACGTGCCCACAATGAATGGGGGGGGGAGGGGGGCGTTTTGTCCGAAGAATATTCGATGCCAAAGTTAGAATTCTAAAGAGAATGTGTTTAGGAGTTTGTGGGTAGCAAATGGCTTAGCATTTTAGTTGGATAAGAACGGTATTTATAGGAGGGTTGTCGGCCCTTTTGCTGGAGAATGGTCGGCCATATATGGTGTTGTTGATGCACAAAATCAGTGAGGACTTTGGTACAACAGAAAGTGTTAAGTTTGTGACATTCGCTAGATTTCTCCGGTCACTAGTGTGGATAAGTGTAAATGGATAGGGATAGGGAAGCAAACACAAGATGTACGTGGTTCACCCAGATTGGCTACGTCCACAGAGTAGAGGAGTTCTCATTAATTGTGAAGGGTACACAAGTACATAGGTTCAAGCTCTCCTTTAGTGAGTACAAGTGAATGATTTAGTACAAATGACATTAAGAAATATTGTGAGAGAATGATCTCTATTTATAGAAGAGAGTTTCTAGTTTCATTCTGACATTGACACGTGTCGTGTTGTGATTGGCTTCTGATGTTGACACGTGTCGCGCTATGATTGGCTTCTGATGTCGACACGTGTCGCGCTGTGATTGGTCTCTTGATTGGAGGGAAATTCTTCTGGGTCCTTGACGGTATAACGTTGACCGGTGCTCAGTAGTTTCGGGATTGGTCAAGTATGGTACAAACAGTGCTCCCCTAAGTTCCCGAGTGAGGGAAGCTCCTCGGTTGGGGACTTGCAAGATCCAAGCCATTGAGTAATCACGAAACTTCTAAGTATCGAAGTGTGGTATCATTTTCACTTGCCTTATCTGTCTCATATGTAGATGTGGCATCTTCTCTGGAAGTACTTTTCCTCCATCCAGGGATGGTATCTTTAACTGATGAAGATGCACAAGGTAATGTATCAATTTCACTTGTAGCTTACTTGTAGGAGTCCCCCAAGTCGCCGAGTTAGGAGATTTGCCGAAAGAGGTAACAGACAAGGTAAGCAATTAGACTTCTAAGCAAGCAACCTGGATCGGAGGTTCGACTTCAGCTTCCGGTTGATTGTTCTCCTTCTCATTGTGTCGTAAACAGCAACAAGTATAAGGAGAAGCAAATGGAGAAGAGATGATATGAGATATTTTTGCTTTTGAAAAAGTAACTTTCCACATGCTTATTCTTGAACTGGGCTGGAGGGTTTTCTGGTTTCCTCCAGAGTATAAGGCCGACTCAAGAATTTGAGGGTTAAAACAAGTCTATCAAATCAAGAGTGCGTTCGACCTTGATGATATGAGATACTTTTGCTGTTGACGAAGTAATAGATGAATCGGCATGTGTTCTGTTGCGCTTGTCTCCACATGCTTCCTTGTATCCTTCTCACTTGCCCTATCTGTTCCTCAAGCAGATGTGGTATCTTTTCTGGAAGCATAAGATGTTGAAGATGAGTGCTCGAGAGCAATGCTAGGTAAGTAATCAAGCAAGGGGTTCCAAGCAGTCAGTTCCTGACTGGAAGCTTGATTCTAAGTGCTGACTGATTGCTCTCTTTCTCCTTGTCTTGCAGGTAAGAACAAGGGCAAAGGAAAAGATAGGGAAAAAGCATGATATGAGATACTCTTGCTTTTGACCCTTACGATATGAGATACTCTTGCTCTGGTATGGTTGGTTTGCATAGGTATTATTGGGGGGGGGAAGAAAGCTGAGTATTTCAAGAGGCTTCGTTAGGAGTGCCCTCTCAGATATAAGGAAGGGTTGAGCATTTTTGCAGGTCTGCCTGTTCGTGGAGGATGAAGGTCGACATATATAGAAGTCTCCCTAACAACAAGTAGTAATGCTATTCATTTACCCTTCTTGGTCTTAGCAATGTAATGGTAGCTGCAAGCTTCACGTGTTTTAACTTTGTCAGAGCACTTTGAAAAAGTGGTATGTGGTATCTGGAAAGCTGATGTTGTGTGTGAAGATTGCAGACAAGCTTTATCCAAGGAAATATGGCTCTCGAAGTTCAGAGAGCGATGCCTTTTCGGTTTTCGAACAAGCAATCCTGTCGGGGATCTGGCTCTCGAGATTTGGAGAATGGTACCTCTTCGATTTTTGAGAAAGCAATCCTGTTGGGAGTTTGGCTCTTGAGATTCAGAGAGCGGTGCCTCTTCAATTTTTGAGAAAGTAATCCTGTTGGGAGTTTGGCTCTCGAGATTCGGAGGGCGGTGCCTCTTCGATTTTTGAGCAAGTAATAATGTTATTCCTTTACCCTTCTTGGTCATAGCAATGTAGTGGGAGCTGCAAGTTTCACATGTTTTAACTTTGTCAGAGCGCTTTGAAAAAGTGGTCTATGGTATCTGGAAAGCTGATGTTGCGTGTGAAGATTGCAGACAAGCTTTATCCAAGGAAATCTGGCCTCGAAGTTCAGAGAGCAGTGCCTCTTCGGTTTTCGAACAAGCGATCTTGTCGGGGATCTGGCTATCGAGATTCAGAGAATGGTTCTTCTTCAATTTTTGAGAAAGCAATCGTGTTGGGAGTCTGACTCTTGAGATTCGGAAAGAAGTGTCTATTCAATTTTTGAGAAAGTAATCCTGTTGGAAGTCTGACTTTTGAGATTTAGAGAGTGGTTCCTCTTCGATTTTGAGCAAGCAATCTTGTTGGGAGTGTTTTCTCGAATGTGAGTAAAGGTTGGGCATTTTTGCCAGTCTGCCTTGCCACGGAGCACGGAGGTTGACACACATTGGGACTTTTTAGTTATCAAGCAGTGGTACTATTCCTTTACCCTTGTGGGTAATAGTAGGGTAGCTGGACCTTCAAAATTTATGTGTCTAAACTTTGTTAAAGATCTTTGGCAAAGTTATTTGTGGTACCCGAAGAGCTGATGTTGCGTGTGGAAAGTGGTGCCTCTTCAAAATCTGGAGAGTGGTGCCTCTTCGATTTTTGAACCAATGGCCCTGTTGCCCTTTCTTTTATAAGGGCACCAATTGTGTGCAAGAAGTACATTCAGAGAGTTATTGCTTTTAGGAATTTTCCCTTACTTTAAAGATTTATTGCACCTCATTTTTCCTTCATCATTTCTGAGAATGTCTGGCCCATCCAACCGTCATTTTGACTTGAACTTTGGTGAAGAGGCAGCAATGCCTTCTCAAGACAACATATGGTGCCCATCCTTCTTATCTCCTACTGGTCCTCTTACCGTTGGGGACTCTGTGATGAAGAATGATATAACCGCTGCGGTGGTGGCCAGGAACCTTTTCACTCCCAAAGATAACAGACTGCTTTCCAAACGGTCTGATGAGTTGGCTGTTAAGGATTCTCTGGCTCTCAGTGTTCAGTGTGCAGGTTCTGTGTCTAATATGGCCCAATGCCTATTTGCTCGAACCCACCAAGTCTCAAACAGGAGATTAGAGGGCTCAAGCATGAGAATAAACAGTTGCATAGGCTCGCACATGACTATGCTACAAACATGAAGAGGAAGCTCGACCAGCTGCAGGAATTTGATGGTCAGATTTTACTTGATCATCAGAGGTTTGTGGGTTTGTTCCAAAGGCATTTATTGCCTTCGTCTTCTGGGGCTGTACCACGTAATGAAGCTCCAAATGATCAACCTTCAGTTCCTCATCCTTCTGGGGTTCTGCCTAGTACTGAGGCTCTGAATAATCACCCTCTGGTGCCTCCTCTTTTTGGGGCTCTGCCTACTGCTGAGACTTCTCATGCGCAACCTTTGTGAAGGCTCCATCTTGTTTGTTTATTTTGATTCATGTATATGTACATATTTGTAACTTATCGGAGATATCAATAAACAAGCTTTGCTTCATTTTAACGTATTGTGTTAAATACACCAAGGCCTTATTCACTAAGTTCTTTGAATTTTTCCTTTTGTTGAAGCTTGTATGTTGAAGCTTTGTGAGTGAAGCATGTAGGTTGAGGTAGTGCTCCCTTAATTTCCCGAGTGAGGACAACTTCTCGTTTGGAGACTTGAAAAATCCAAGTCACTGAGTGGTCATGAGACTTCTGAGTATCAAGGTGCAGTAGCATATGGTAGGAGTCCCCCAAGTCTCTGGTCGAGAGAGTTAACGAATGAGGCATTTCCTTTCTAAGTGGTAGCCCAAAACTCCTTCTT